TACATTTCCTCTACATCATGTTCAGTTGTTTTGATTTCTGTTCTGAAATGCTTTACACAAACATGTTTCCTCTCATCTATGGGCTTCAGACTAAAGAACTGCTTCAGATGATCTTTTCTCTGGGCTCAGATGCAATCTTCATTGTCTTCCCACAGTGCTGTAAGCCGACCGCTCACGAAATCCTCCCGTTTCTCTACGTGGATGAATGGAGCAGTTTGGTTCTGTCCTCAGTGAGTCTGATCCGTGAGTGCGGCTGCAAAAACACAGGATCCTGAGGTCATGACCCTGTTCTAGAAAGCCTCCCTGACCCGCAGGTCACGCTGACCTGTGTGATTATTGGCACAGAGCAACAGAAATATGGCAGAGAAGCACAGCTCTTGGGATTTGTAGGTTTATGGCTTAGCAAACATATTTAGCGTCTTTTGACTTTTGCTGCTGTCGAGAGGTCAGACTCTCAGACTCTTGTGGGCTTTAAGAGTGTGTTTGAAAATAATGTGGAAACATATAAAGTTCTCAGAAGACATGAAGTTCTCAATCTAAGCCTGTTATTCAACTTTCATAGAAATGCACAAAGGACCTCCTGTTACAAATGAACTCAAGGCCAAATCTGTTTTTAACTTCAGGTTTTAATGGGGCCGCGGCTGTAGTCTGACTTGATTTCAGCGGCCAGCGAATGTTCCCTGAAAAAATGTTGTCGAGCAGTTCTGCCAAAACTTTTCCCTGAGCGAATCTGAGGACCAAATAAAAGGTTACATTCAAAATGTCCTTCCTTTAAATCAAGCTATTATGTCAATTATTCCTCTAATGTGGCATCCGGCATGATCGTTAGCGTTAACGTGCTTCTGCACTTTGAGAAACATCCCAGTCTTGCAGATAAGAATTGAATGGTTTGAGACATTCCAGCATGAACATTTCGGCTGCGTGCTTGCAAAATTCAACGTGGGAACAGTTTTCAACCCACTATTTTATATATATATATATATTTGTAATGTTTCTTAACATGATTTCCATTGTATGAGAAAATATCAAAACCATTTCATGCAAACCAGGAATAGCAAACTAACACTTTCAAATGCTTGTTTAGCTAGTATTTAACAAGATTTGCACTTCATATCAAATGGATCAGCAGAATGTTTTATTAAAGAAAGCTTTCAAGGCATAAAGATGTGGTGTCCTTCACTTCATAAAAGATGTTTGCAACATTAATTTCTCTTTTTATCGTGTGTGTGTGTGTGTGTGTGTGATATTTCTGGCAGTTTCTGTGTGTAGCAAAACAAATCCTGAAAAAGATTTAGCAACATGAACCCATTTGAACGTCTATTCTGCTCACTTTTCAGTGGTTAGTAATGATTGTGGTCACAGGCTACTTGCAGTGCATTCCTCAAATTAGCAGATTATTTTGGGAGTTTATTGGCACACAGTGTTTGAAAGTTTGTGTGTGTGTGCATGTGTGTGTGTGTGTGTGCGAGTGTGTGTGCGAGTGTGTCCCGCTCCCGCAAGGTTCTATTCCGCTCCCGCTATATTTTGTTCACCGTGTCCCGCTCCCGCAAGGTTCTATTCCGCTCCCGCTATATATTCACTCTTTGTTCACCCGCTGTCCGCTTGGAATAATTTTCTTCGCGACCTGAACGTTCCCGCTAAATTTAGATCTCGTTTCCAGAATCTCACTTTTAAATTTCTGCTACTGAAAGAAAGAGAGATAGGCTGACAAATAAAAGTGTAGTCTGCGCAAAATTGTGTTATTTTATTGTCTTGTCAAGAGTCTTGAATTTATATGAATTATCTTAAGACACAAAATTCGTCTTAAAAATGTTATGCAACACAGAAAAAAGTGTCAGAGAAAATTAAAATGTTGTACAAAAATTGTATTTCTCATTTTTATTCATCTTGTCAGGATACAATTCGTTTAACATTTACAACACAATAGGAAAAAGTGTCGCAGAGAGAAAAAAATAAAATAAATGTAGGTTGTACAAAAATAAAAAATGTATTCACCCCCCGGAGCCGTGTGAGACACTTTTTATTAATGGATGGGCGCTTTTTATTTAACTTCTTTTGGACTGATGCATGCAACACCCACTGAGTGCCATGAAACAGCTTGAAAGATCAAAGACAATTTTTAATATAACTCCGACTGGATTCATCTGAAAGAAGAAAGTCATATACACCTGGGATGACTTGAGGGTGAGTAATTTATGGGCTAATTTTCATTTTTGGGTGAACTAACCCTTTAAAATAGAAATCTTTTGTAACAATAACGTTGAAATGTTTGCAATACAATGGATCAGTATTTAAAAAACATAGGTCACATGAATTTTTTCTAGGGCCTTCAAATAGCTAGAACCGGCCCTGAGTGCAGACATACATATAATAAAATTAAATATAATGTTGCGAATCATCATCAGAGTCGGGATCCATTTGCAGCATTTTTATTGCGTAAACAGACAAGACAGGGTCAATCACCAGTAGATACAATAGCGAGGGCTAGGCTGAGACAGAACGTGGGATGGGCAGGAGGTCGAGGCAGGCGGCAGACAGACACAGTAGAAGAACAATCCAAGTCAGGGCAGGCAGAGACAGATCAGAGTACGATAATCAGTCCAAGGTCAAACGAATAGGCAAGATACAGGGTAAACGCTCAGAAGTGACAGCCGGGGCAAATCAAGACTTCGCAGTGAGTAGCCGTGAGTGTTAGGCTTATATGTGTGTGTGCGTGATTCAATGCAGGTGTGTGCGTGCAATCAGTCCCAGGTATGAGGCATGATGGGAACTGGAGTCCGAATGGATGAAGTCAATATTCCGGAGAGAGTTCCCTCTGGTGGTGAGGAGGAGGCGGTACGGAAGCCTCCTCTGTAACATATAACACTAATAATAAAGAGATAAGACAATAAAAATAATAATAATTAAGTTTAGCAAGACTGAGCGTAGTAAATAAACGTGCTGCTGTGGACGAGCCACATGCATTTATTAACATTCATATCTCTATTGACTCTCTACAGACGAGTCGGGGGACTTCTGCTGGTTTATTCATAAGAGATGCGGCACATGGGATGAAGTTTTTGTTTTACTGTCAGTCAATGAATCCATTCCGAATGGAGGATCGATTCGACTTCAAACCAACTCTCCGACTCACCTGAACCCGGTTCATCCCCATGACTCTCCGTCCATCATCCCTGAGGACTGCGGCCTTCGCTTCGACGCTGACACACCTGAGACACCTGCCAACCTGCCACACCTGCCACACCTGAGACACCTGCCACACCTGAGACACCTGAGACACCTGCCACACCTGCCACACCTGAGAGACCTGAGACACCTGCCACAACATAATCTCTGCGTCAGACTGACAAGCATCATGGGAAAACATTTACACTGTCCGCCGTTTCTGGTCAGCATAAGGAGAAAACAGTAGCACACCTGCCACACCTGAGACACCTGCCACACCTGCCACACCTGCCACACTTGAGACACCTGCCACACCTGCCACACCTGCCACACTTGAGACACCTGCCACACCTGCCACACCTGCCACACTTGAGACACCTGCCACACCTGCCACACCTGCCACACTTGAGACACCTGCCACACCTGCCACACCTGCCACACTTGAGACACCTGCCACACCTGCCACACCTGCCACACTTGAGACACCTGCCACACCTGCCACACCTGCCACACTTGAGACACCTGCCACACCTGCCACACCTGCCACACTTGAGACACCTGCCACACCTGCCACACCTGCCACACTTGAGACACCTGCCACACCTGCCACACCTGCCACACTTGAGACACCTGCCACACCTGCCACACCTGCCACACTTGAGACACCTGCCACACCTGAGACACCTGAGACACCTGCCACAACATAATCTCTGCGTCAGACTAACAAGCATCATGGGAAAACATTTACACTGTCCGCCGTTTCTGGTCAGCATAAGGAGAAAACAGTAGCAGTCTGACTGAGTCCTGAATTAATCTATAAACATTATGAGACACAACAGTAAAGATTTAGACTGATATACTGTTAGAGGATAGTGGCGTAACATTTAGGATGTTGCATTTCAATTTAAATTCATTTGAATGAATGTTTCAATAATATGTGAATGGTCTGTTTTCAGATAAACAACATTTCCAGTTTAATATGCTTTAAATTTGAAATATACATTTTATTTTAAACGGCCTTTATAGCCCTTCTGTTTTATTAAACTTTTTATATTTAGTACACTGATAAAAGCACTAGAATGTAGTTCATGACTCCATTTATTTACCAGTCTATATATATATATATATATATATATATATATATATATATATATATATTGGTAATAAATATCTGGAAGCAAATCTCTGTGTCTACTGTGATTTCATATTAATATGATGTATGGATTTTAAATCAAATCACTGAAGTAGATTTTAAATCTGTCAAACAAACAAACCAATGGCATCAACAACAGTAAATAACAACAGTTATAGAAAATTCAACCTCAAATGTCTCTCTCACACACTCACATATCTCGTTTGTTTAGTCAAATACACTCAGAAAGCACAAACAGAACTGAGCACACAATCATCATCATTCTGCACAGTAGGTTTATTCAGTCAGATTCATGCTTGATGTTCAGAACAGTGTAAGCAGAGGCACCTGCAGGATTTCTTCTGAGGGTGCGCACATGTGCTCACAGATGAGAACAAAACAGCGTTGGATGAAGTGGATTAGAGCCCTGCACCGGCCTCAAATATAGGCCCTAGCCAGTCTTTTTCCCCTTCTCCCAAAAAAGATTATACTACTTTTTCAGCTATTAAAATTCAATTCAATTCAAGTTTATTTGTATAGCTGTGTGTGTGCACTTTGGATGGGTAAATGCAGAGCACTAATTCCGAGTATGGGTCACCATACTTGGCCACATGCCGCTTCGCTTCACTTATTATTTACTTTAATCAGTATCACTGCGCTGCCGTGATGACGTGCCTGCTGGCGTGCGCGCTCGTGCAATTACATGCCCATAAAAGGAGTGGTGAGCCGGAACCATTCAATACTGCACGGGGGTGTGCACTTCACTTCATAATATCCGCACGAGTAATTATACGAATTAATGGTTCATTCTTAAAATGGCTTATGAATTCGTGCTTAAAAGGAGTCTGTTGTTCAATATATAGTTTAATCGTGTCTGTTTGACACACTAATCTGAAGCTCTGTGCCTCAGGTGACCCGCCCTCCTGAGTGGACGCGTCCGCGGAGCTCCGTGCTGCGGCCGCTGAGTGCGCTTCAGCTAACTGCGATTTCTGAAAGTCATCCTTGATTTCTAGATTTGACGAAATGTGATAAATCGGCGGATCGTCTCGTCATGAGCGACCGAGGAGCGGCGCCTGACAGCGGACAGTACAAGCCGAGGATGAGCGGAGGGAGCAGGTGAGAAAACGGTCTCAATGAGGAGCTAAAACACAAGCAAGCAGCGACGTTCCACAGAGTCTTTAAACACGGGATACTGACAGATACGAACTTATGAAACGGATCGAAAGATTTAGAATTGAACTGAAGCATAAAGGACTGATGATCACGAGTGAATACAAACTAAACAAGAGTGTCGTGTAAATAACGGACACAAACGCGAGTGTGAATCACCTTCATGCTGAAATGATCTGATTTAATCCCTATAAACGAATGAATGATTACTGTTAAATATATTATCAGTGTGCTGGTGATTTGTGTGTGTGTCAAATAGTTTTAGGCCGGAGAAAAAACACAATCATTCATCTGAAACTCACTCACTCACTCACTCACTCTCTCACACACACTCACTCACTCACTCACTCACTCACACACACACACTCACTCACCCTCACTCACTCACACACACACTCACTCACCCTCACTCACTCACACTCACCCTCTCACTCACTCACTCAATCTCACACTCACTCACACACACACTCACTCACACACACACTCACTCACTCTCTCACTCTCACACACACACACACTCACTCTCAC